AAATTCCTGTTACCCAGGCTCACAGTTGAGATTATATTCCGACTCCCTTTGCCTTCCAAGTCTCTCCTCTGGCAAAGTATCTCTACTAGATCAATTACACTTCCTCTCCCCAACCTACTTCTGCTGTTCAGGCAATTGGCAGGGATTGAGTACGTCAACATTGAAGTATGTGGGTTCTCTGGAGAAAGGTTTTCTGTATTAATCACAAATTGGGAGGCTAGTCAGGTCCAGTAAAAGCAATGCCAGGATTGAATTCCCCTCCCTGATTTTGGTGGCTGGGATTTGTTGGTTAGGGGCATATGTCTAGGAGAGTGTGATAAAAGTGCTGGAAAGAAATAACAAAGCATGTAGTCATCAGGCTGCTGGAGCCTTTGGACAAGTTACTAACTAAAAGCAGGTAAAGACCCAGATTTTTCTATGTCTGGTCAGGCATGTGACAGCCCCAGTCTTCCAGAACAATTATTTGGTTAGTGAATTCAAACTATTTGACTGCATTGAATGAGATTATGACACCTTAAGCTCAGATTGCCCCAATTGTTTCTATTACAAAATTGGAAAATCACTGACTGATTCTCAGAGGCCAAAAAGACCCTTGAATAAAAAGGTCTTTGATGAGACTGTTTGTAAGGATGGCGGTCAAAAAGAAACTACATTTGATTCACAGTGCCATTTAACAAAGATGTCCTAGAATCAAAGAATTTTGTCATTACAAATGACTTTGTAGGTCTGCTTAACCAACCTTCTACCCAATGCAGACATCTCTTTCATAATATTGGTAGGAAATGATCATCCTACCTTTCAATTTCAGTAAATGAATTAAGACAGTCCATTTAATTGCTAAACAGTTGTGTCTTTATACTACTCCGAGCCTTAGCTTTGCCTTCTGCAAAACTATGAACAATACTACCTTCTTTGTGGGAGCTAGCATAGTCCCTGGTTTATAGCGGGTGCTCTCTTCAAACTGAATCAAGATATATGCCTCTCTACAACTTCTACCTATTGGAAATGCTTGCCTTCTGGTGCCAGAAAGAACACTTTCCACATGACAGTTCCGAAGATAATAATTATGTTACCATTATCCTTTTCTGGAAATATGACATACTGTATACATGTCCCTGTCTTACAAATGACAACTTCTACACACACAGAGTCCTGTAAATGTAGAATGTGTAATCAACTAAAACACCAATATCATCTTCACATGAACTTCTGTTAATTCAATTCTCCCCCACTGTGCCAGTACAACAGATTTTTTTAATGAAAGAATATATATTTTTTTAACTCTGTGAAAGCTTAATTTTGTTGGTTTCATTCTACTAAGATGATTATGAATCTTGAGTCTATCATTCATTGCTTAAGAGTCAGGTTGGGGAAGTCTTTTTACATTTTTGTATATTTAGAATAAATGGACAGAAAACCTTTTGAGGTGGAATGGTAGTAATATGAGTAGTAATAGAACCATAATTCCAGATCATGATAACCACGGTCATAGTTACAGAATGTTTCTTGTTGACTAGTTAACCACATTGTTTCAATATTTAAAATATTAACACTTAAAGGTAAGTTTTTATCACCTATAAAATGCATTTATTTGGAATGTCATTTAGACAATGGCTTTAACTATGTATTAAGGTCCAATCAACTCTTCCCCTTCCCAAACCTCTCCTATTTGTTTGGACTAATATTTCCTTCTAGAAGTAAGTGTTCCACACTGCTGGGAGCATCAGCTTGCCACTCTGCCTTTATTTACAGGTGAATGTCAACTGACCTTTCCCTCGGAGTAAAAGTAAGTTCAAAGTGTACTTATTCACATCATAAGGTCAATAATGTAATTAAAATCTGTTAAGATCGTTAAAATGAGAGAAAATCACAACGACTGTAATATAAAAGGTATCTGAACAACTCCAAAACAAAGCAGTATGAAGGAGGAGAAAAAGTGTCTCCCTGTTCCTGCCAATATTTATACCCTAACTTATAAACAATGTCTGGCAACAACAGCGAAGGGACTCTGAAGGCTCATTGAGGCCAATTAGTCCTCCCCTGGAGTGCCTGTTTGCAGAAAAGTTCCTGGGGAGATGCTGGTACTGGGACCCGCACACTGGGCCTCCTGCTTACCTGGCTCCAGCTCAGACACATGGCATTCCTCCACAGCTCCAAAAGGGCTGTACACCTTTGCATCAATCTTTCCCTTGCCCCATTCAACCTTATAGCAAAGGAGGCTGGCTGGTTAACCTTTAATCCCGATTCCTGAAAATTTAATACATTAGACAAGGTTACGGCCCTCAGTGTTCCTGCTCAGTGGCACACACTGACCAGATCTGGGACCCAGGGACAGCTGAGCCACCATAAAAGACTATTCTCATATGCAGTTAAAGCTTTTAGGGAATACCAATTTATATGGATTATCTCATTTGATACTGTAGAGTAAGTACTATTATTGCCTCTGTTTTATAGATTGCAAAACCATGCTCAGGTTCACTGATTTGCTCAAGGACAGACTTTATAAGAGGGAGAGCTGAAGGGCCAGTAGCAATAGAGGAAATGAGGACCACAGAAGATCCTATGGGAGAAACACTGATACGATTAAGCTGTTCCTGGGCTTTCCCACCGTCCAAGGGCCCTGACACAGACACTTTGTCAGACAAGCACACAGAAGGGAAGATTTCACTTTATTGTTATATCAATCTCACAAATAAACCCAACACAGTTAGAAACACTGAGCAGATAAAGTGCCAATACAGAGGCCTGGCAACAGGAGGGAGGAATCCAGTTCATCTCCTCCATGTCCCCGACCTGGAAAGATATTTCTATTATACAAGAGTGAGGAAGCTGACATACTAAACAATCCATTCTATAGACACTTTGAGCTAAGGAATAGAAAATCTTACTAGGTGGGATCTATGCAGGGAAAGGAAATAGAAAAGTCAAAAAACATTTGTTCCTCATATAAGTCAGGCATATAAATACTGAATGACAAAAACAGTACTTTTCAAACTTTATGTATTTGAGATGGACATCTGTTACAGAACAAGAGGGGTAATAGTTATACTGGGTTACTTCTGGCTTCTGCCTCGCTTCAGAACTGTGACCTAGGTAGACACTATCTTCCTTCACCCTTAATGAGAGGCACTAGAGATAATTTCCTAGGATTCAGGGAAGAACTGACCTTACCTGCTTACCTTGCCAGCCCCCCAAAAGTAGACCCAGTGCTCCTTAATGAATATCAAGAAGATATGGGCTGTCACAGTAATCAACTTGGCAGCATTTAAAGATTAATGAAGTTCAAGATTTCTCATAATTGTCTTTAGACATTTTTAGGTACCTTTATCAAGCCTAAGGTTTAAAGCACAATTATTTGACAAATTATTTGACTGCATTGAGTGAGACTGTGATACTTTAAGCTCAGATTGCCACAACTGTTTCTGTTACAAAATTGGAAAATCACTGACTGATTCTCAAAGGCCAGAGAGATCACTAAAGGCCATCTGATCATCCCCCTGACACCATATAATCCTAAACTCGAAGGGCCAGAATCAGTCACATCTTTCCAGTACCTATGAATTCCTGGTATCTCTGGTCCACAGGGACTCTAAATAAGGAACTTCCAGGCCAAGGAACTTCCAACATGCCTCATTTGTGGCCAAGAGTCAAGGCTTGGCATGGAACTTTCAACTAGGGAAGGAAAGGGTGAAGTGTATTTCAACTCAGTCCTAGGATAAGAAGCAAGCCAAAGTGGTGCCATGATAGAGGAAGAGTGAAGAGGCTTCAATGGAAAGGCACAGGTCCCTCCCAGGTAAGAAAATGGGGTAGAACTGGATGGGGTATTGAAGGTTGGTAACCTGGGATCGCCCCTGCTGAGCTTCAAATGTGACCTCCTCTACTTAGTGCTTAGTTTTCCATTTTCCACTTTACTTCCTCTATAGGGGACAATAAGAAGGGGGTCTGGGGATGACTCAGTGACAACTGCTGCAAGTACAGCTGCATAGCTATTCAAGCGAGACCACCAAGTTTCTAGTCTTTAGGAAGTTTCTAGTCTTTAGGGAGTTTCTGTAAGGCCGAAAACATTCAGAGTTCCAAAGGGTTGTTTGGTAGAGACAGCAGCTGAACACTAGACAAGATTGTTGGTAGAAACTGGCAAAGTTCAAAATGGAATCCATTAAATACTCTGGAAACAACTGCTATGAATCAAGGGTATACTCACAAATCCCATAAAGGGATACTCACAGCTGGCTATTTTTCTGACTTCTCTGAGCACTACTATGACCAAATTGAAGGGGAAATTCATTACAAGTATCTGTGTACCCAAGTTGACACCCCAACAAAAAAGCTTTGAGAAGTCCCTGTGATCTCCAACACTTTGAGAGGAGTCAGGAAATATTGGGCAGTCAGAAAAGGTTGTCCTTAACACTGTCAGCTCCTGTCCTGCCTCTGTCCTCATACTAGGACAGAGCTGAAGAATATCCCTACCTTCAGTTCCCTGTCTGTAAGTTTCAATACTGACTTCCATCCCAGAAAGGTTTCCCTATGTAGGCCTTCCCACCAATTGATTCTACCTAGTACTCCCTTCTATTCTGGTCCTGCTCTTAGTTTTTTCATCATCTTTCCATGCTCCTGTTCCCATCTACTTGAGTTCATGGCAGACAAATAACAGGTTAGGCAGAAATAGTGACTAGATCTTGGGAGTATCAATTTCTGACAATGATGCCCAGATTATTTACTGAAGCTTTCAATTCCATCTCAGGGAGTGATTGATTAATGTTCTTCTGTCTGTGGTTCCTCCTTCCTCTTTCCC